GAGCCATAATCTAAACTCCTTCGAGGGGGCTACATAGGGGACTCATTGGGGAGTGCTATAGGGATTATGAAAGGGGATACTAGTAGTTTGGACTATAGCTCAGATGATACAACGTGGATGCCTCGTTTGTCAGCGCGGGCTGATGGGAGGGACTCAACAATGCTCAGCGCTGGCTATTGCTGTCATTCTTAATCCTTTCTGTTATACTTGTCAGTATTCTTGTTATTATCGGTACTCTTGTTTGCTTGATGGAAAGCAGGTGTGCCGCGAGAATAGCGCCGATCCGAGAATCTGGAAACCAACTCCTGCCACTCGGCGGTTCTTCTGAGCCAAAGTAGGAGTATGTAACACCAAGAGCAATGAGGATAGGGGATTTGATCAGGATGACTCTCCCACCAGGAATTTGAAGCGCAGTAACGCAATACTTTTCCCAGCTCAGTTGCAGAGCAGTGCAGACGGACGAGAACAGATGGGGTTATTCCACGATGACAATCAAGAACCCCCTTGGAATCCTTCCAAAGGATGTGTTTCATTATCCTTTTACATCATAAACAGGATGAGTGAGGCAATCTTCTTGAGAGAAATCAGAAACAAGACACAAATAATGTTTTGAGCATCCAGCGCTGCCGGCATAAACTGTTGGGGAGTGAACTAAGACGTGGCGGTTCAGGCAAGTTGCCCTACAATATGTACGGATAATCCCGTTCGAATTTCCGTCATCCATCAGTTGTACAGTGTCCCATGGACACCCACGATACCCCTTGATGGAGTCGAAATTGTTTGGGGAGTTCTTCAGGAGCATCCACAAAGTTCTCGCGGCAGACCAAATCCCCCCGGATCAGGGGTCCCACCTGGGCGTTCTGACAACAGACAGCCCCATTGTAGGAAGCTAAGCTACCATGCGTCTCCTGCCTTACATCTTCCTAAGCCGGGAAAGCTCGCTGCTTCGACAGGTGCACCCTGCTGTTGGGAAACGTGGCGGTCAATTCGGTCTTTGTGGCATGTTGGAAGGGTAAACGACGAAGCGATGTACACAGCAGGAGATGCATCACCTGCCGGGTATTGAGCAATGACTCTAATCCGAGAAAGAGCCATTAGTAACACATGAGCGGTAACTTGTCATGTGCTGGTTCACAACTGACAGGCCCTTCCCGAATGCCGTGGTTCCAAGAAGGACCCTTTGCTCATACTTGAACATTCCAGATGATGTCAGGCCTTGTCCATTTTGACAGCAGAGATTGCCAGCGGTTTGGTTGGATTTTTGGTGCCTGGGCACATCTTGGCATCAGCAACAACTGATAATCTGGGTATTCAAGCAGCAGCCGCAGTAGCAGAAATGGCTGTTGTTAGCAGCAATAGTAGGAGCAACAGCAGCAGTAGAGCAAAAGGTATTCTAAAAGCATTGGAATTTTTGGCATTTGTTTCAGCGAAGGCTTACAAAGGCGCGGGCCAGATTGCTTGGTCAGCTATCGTCAGAGAGTGGGCTAGGTTCAGGGCTACGAATGACCATGGAGCATGCGACCCAGGTCTCGACCGCTTTGATCGTTACGTTCGGCGAGATTTTGCCCCAGGCAATTGAGAGCTCATGGCATGAGGGTGCATGATCAATGATGCAGAAGGGTTTTCTTTTCTGCCTGCGGTGCTCATTGCCATGGCTTTCACGCGCAGGACACTCCCGCATGGATTCGTATGGACTTGCAAAAGTTGACACTGACGGCCAACATGTTTTGGTAGCCTTCTGTTAGCTGACACAAGACTTTGGGCTATGAGACTTGCATGCATGCTCACAGCCTGAAGTTAGACAGGCAGAGGAGAGGCTGCTCCAGCCCAAAGCAATGGCAAAAGCCGTAATTGCAGGAGCATGGCCGCAGAAACGGGCACAGATCTGGCCATGCTTCTGGATGGGCTGGGAGAAATACGGGACTCTCAACATGCAAACGATGCAAACGACAGGTGGGCACAAGTACGGGCCCTGGTAGGTGGCCTTGGAAGGACTTACAGGCTGGGTGAAGAGGCGCTTTTCGACTTCACCAGATGGCAACTTAATTAGGAAGAGTCGCTGGCTTTCAAACTTTCCAACTGCTATTTCCAGAACGCTCTACATTAGCTTGGAAACCAGAGTTTCGTGCAAATATGTTCGGGCCCTTTTGTGATGGCTGGTCCCAGGCTGCTTGCTCCAGATATGCGCTTCAGGCGAGGAGCGTGTTGATTTCATTATTCCTTGGGCCGCTGCAGCGAGTCGACACTGTATATGACTTGAAATGTATGTGCAAGCCTTGATACACGAATTGCTGTGAAGACTTGTGCAGGGGTTGGGTTCAGCATCTTACATGTGTGGGCAGCATGGGATCATCTTCTGGGCGGGATGGCAGGAGTGTGTACAACATGTCGGGACATGGGGCTTTTTGGCGGAGTTGCTAAGAGTAGGGGCCAGGTGCAGGACTTCAAGGGGTTGTTGGGCTCTACATAGAACACATAGGTAGCATTAGGGCAGGTTCTCCTGCAACGCTCTGCGGGACCAGGTTGGCGCAAGAACTGTTCCCATCGTGAAGTTTCTGATGCGATCCTGGCCTGGTTTGCTGCGCCGGGTGCCATCTTGGGCCTGGCATCCCGCCACCAGTAGATTGGTGATAGCATGCTCTTGGAGTGAGATGCGAAAAGCAGCTAGACATGGCTGGGTGCATGTTTCCGGCTGAAAGCAGAGGGCGCATCGTCACAACCAACAGATTCGGCATGAGCTGCTTCCAGTTTGCCAAACAAAATCGGAAATCAAGCACTTGCGTGAAGATCCTGGAAGATCCTGCCAGGATTCTTTTTTTCATCATCACCAAGCCGATGAGTATTGCTTTGGATTGGCTGCTGGGCCAGGAGGCACCTCTGACCTGGGACGTTCAATATTAAGACACATGCGATAAAGAGGCCCAGTTCATCACAGTTCCATCACCACTACTCATTCCGGTTGGTTGCCGAGTCCATGCAAAGCCTGAGCTTGCAATTATCGACAGGTTGGCACGATCCACAGCCGAACAGCCGAGGGCCTACGTGCTTTCAAGCGTCTAGTCGCTGCCTTGCCAATCAGGCCGCTCTTCAGGTGGCTCATCCAGGCTGATGGTACAAAAGCAACAGCGCATGGTCTACTGTAGATGTCGTACTTCTATGGCTGTGGTTGAAGGAGTGACAAACAAGGACCACAGGTCCAACCTTCGCAAGGCCATCCCTGATATCAAGATATTCTGTCAGCAACAGGCGCCGTGATCATTATTCACCTAAGGGACACACACTTCTTAGTCGCCCAATGATGCTTTGACGATGCCCATGGGAAGCTTCAGCTGTCACTCTGACACCTTCTTATTGTCAATGCCATCAAGTTATATCAAGTTAGTTACTTATGCGGTTGGCCTTACACTTTGCTTTGGTGACTAGCGTATTTTCTCAAGTCATACTGGTCAAAATATGATGATGTCAACCGACATCACCTTCAACAGCGGTTTACATAGAAATAATCCGGAATTGTTTAAATTTGAGGTTCTGAAAAAGATTAAATGATCAGGGTCATACATTTGCATTCATGTGCCCAGGAGCTTATGGAGATGCTGAAGCTCCAGATCTCTTTGGGTGCTTTGTTCAGTCTCCCTCAGCTTGCGCAAGACATCATTTCAAGCATCATCGTTGCAATGCAATGCTTGAATGTGACTTTCATGCTTGCGTGGTCAGAATAGCTGGAGTGCTGACATGCATTGATGCCATGGCTGATGGGACCCCCGTCAGGTGCTGTGGATGCTGAGGAGGGAAAGATTGCACAGCAGGTGACCGGCAAGAGCTGCGTGTTTGCTTGCAGTCACTTGCAATTTCTTATGCTATGATGTTCCGTGAGTTGACACCCGGATGCTTGCTGCTGTTATCATTTCCATGGCAAATCGCACATCTTTTTAGGCAGCAGGTTTCCGCTCTATTTTAGGATGCGCAGCTCTGCCATTGCATAAATCACAGTTGTGCGGCTCCGGCAGGTCGCCGAAGGTGCCTTGAGCTTTCGCGACAAGCAGGTTCCGAGCACCAACTCCTCCTGAATTGTTTTACTGGTATATTTGAAGATTCGGGATTCATTCTGGCACAAAGTGTACATCGGACCTAGCCGCACCGCTTGCAACACGTGTCCTTGCGAGCGTTTTTTTTAGAAATGGGACACTAACCATGTACTGGCACGATTGTGCCCTGTTTGACATTAAGTAGCAATGATTTTGGCCTGGCCTTGATGTGAGGATAGGTTTCTGGCACGTTCCTTCAACCGCAGCTGCGTGTTCAAGTTTGGATATGAACGAACCAATCATCCCGATGCAGCTAGTACAGATGTATTTTCGGGGATGCCTCAACAGTTCCGCTGACCTTTTTGGAAGGTCGGCGACATCATGACACCACTGGAGGATGCCCACCGCTCAGAGCTTGCTCATGGAAGATGTGATATCTTGAGATTTTATTCAAAAAGGCATTTAGCTGCAAGTCCGGTATGTCCAGTGTATGCGGCACGACAGCAGCCTGTTGAGCTGCTTTGCTTGAACTCATGTCGCAGAAAGCTTTGTGGAGCAAGCTCGATGGCCTGTAGTCACGCCACAAGATTCTATGAGCCCAAGTGCGGAAATTGTGGATGCAGGCTTATTTCCTGAACAGTGACACGAAGCTTGGATACGACGCCATCCGGGAGATCTTCGAGACCGGATTCAGCCTCTCGAAGCAGACTTCAGATGATTCCACTTGAGCGAAAGAGGGAGAGAGGAAAGGACGACTTAAAAATGTCAGTGTTGCCGGAGAGCTTACCACAATGTATGCACAAGAGTCCCATGCAGCGAGCCGAGGCCGAATCCCCATTTATGGCAGAGATAAGCACGAATACCGTGGCCTTTTGTATTCGAAGGACTGGTGTCTCATGCTGTCTTCGGTCCTTTCTGAAACCATAGTCGCCGCAAATATATGGGATTTTGTGGCTCTTGTGCCGTATGTTTCGTGAGGCAGAGCTGCCCCTGCCAGGACTTGATGCTTGCTGACCCCGAAGATGAGATGAAGGCAAAATGTTTCTTCTAAGGTCGCGGGGGTGTCTCAGATCGTTGAAGCTGCTGCCCTCTATCTCTACAGCTCTGAAAATATCAGGAAGCAAGAGCTCAATGCAGAGATGATGGAAAGCGAGCCAAGCGTGAGCCTGGCATCACGAAACATGATCCTGGGGGGGGGGGGGGGGNNCAGATTTGCGCTCGGGTAGGTCCTGAGCTGTGAACTTGGCACATGGATCCTTTGAGCAGGTTTAATAGGTGTCCCTGTCAGTATTTGCAGTATTTGTCCAGGGTTTTTTACCAGGTTATCCAATGGTTTTTTTGGGTGGCGCGGGGCATGGTGGTGGTTATGATTTGCATGCTTCGCGGCTCTTCGTGGATCAGTTGAGCCAAGCCTTTGACGCGCTCGGCGCCTGAATGAACCTCTTCCTCGTGCACTAAAGCTTCAATGCTTCTAAATGTTTAGTGCACGTAGCCCACCCCTTGGGAGCCGGATTCCAACTGTTTGCAACGCTACTCGCTTTCCGTGCAGTCCACTCTGGTTTGCAGACTTGCAACCTTTTAGGATGCTAGATGGGACCCCGCCAGTTGGCAGGTGGGTGACTTCATTCAAATCTTTGGCAGGAAGGCGCGAGCAGAAACGGAAGCCACAGAATTCGTCGACCATGGTGAGAAAGCTTGCTTGGCTCCATGTCATTCACCTTGTCGATCCTGTCGAGGTAGAGACCGTTTTCGAGGAGCGGGTTTTGAAGCATGCCGACAGAGCAGGTACGAGGGGTATGATGGTGCGAGGATGCACAAAGACTGCGCTTCCCGCAAAAAAACCAAGCGGCACAAGATCAGCTCCAACATTTTGCCATAGCCTTGCACGGAAAGAAGACCTTGACTGGCATGTTTGCAGGGGCTGCATAACGCCGATCATTCCCATAAGCTCCATCTGCTCCATCTGCTCCGTGTCAAGAGAACTTTAAAGCTGGCTTGGCATCTCAAGGAGACGAAGCTGGTGGCCTGCTTAAATGCCTTCAAAAAGGGCGGTACGCACATGGCGCTCGTGCGCAAGGCACTGCTCTCGTTTCAGTGATGGTCTTGTGGTAGAATTGTGAGTCTTGAACACCAATAGTTGCACGAATCAAGGCCAAGATGCTTGTCCTGCATACCCAAAACCTGTCTCTTTGGCGTTTTCCTCTCAAGTCTGGATGTACGGGCACAACGTCCGTGGGCCGATCATGGCCTTGAAGGATGAAGATGCGACAGTGAGCTTTGGGGGAAGCAGCTTCGCCGCGACCAGCTTCACCTGCAGCATTGGGACCTCTTTGGTTGCATGTCGGGGAGACAGTCTCCAGTTCGAGCAACTCCTGGACAAGAAGCTTGCCGAGCACTTGGCCTCTCACGCAGAAAAGACTGACGCAGTTCTTAGATGTGTAGAACACATTGCCGGGATGGTGGAGACCCTGACAGAGCCACAGCGAGATCGTCCAACATACTCGCCCGGAAGACCAACTTCCCCCAAGGAGCCCCGACCAGCCTTGAAGAAGCATCGACCAGCCGCGTCCATACAAAGCCTGGTGGAGCTCGAGAGTGCATTTCTGCAAGAGGTTTGTGACGTTCGATCCGAGCATCGCCGAAGCGTTCACGTTCCGGTTCCGGAGTTTCCAGTTGTTCAAGTTGTGCCTGCCGTGCCAGACAAGGGCGACAACCTACCAATGCCGCCAGACAATGCGCTGCCGGGACTCTTGAACTCGGACGCTGACGAAGCAGATGTTCAACCTAAGGGGTTGACACAGAAGCGCGGTCGATTCCAGTCAGCAGGCTCAAACCTTATCATATTGAATCAGGATACACAGGCGTGCATCCTGGACTCTCATACAAACACACATCTCAGCTTCGAGGAGCCAGTGTAGTTTTATTATGTTGAGTAGGTCGAAAACTGTCAGCGCAAGCTCCTTTTGCACGTCTTGCCCAGAGGAGCCAGCTGCTGTGGAACTTGACCGAGGATCTCGACTTCTGTTGGCACTCCCCAACTGCCTCTTCCTGGCTATTGGCATCCCGATCCTACATAAGGGTGTTTAGACACTGGAAGCCAACACGATGGGCCGCCATGTTTGAACCGTTGAGTGTTGGGAGTGTAATGAACCTAACCTGCCTGAGATTAACGAGGTTCCTGCAAGCAAACACCTAGGTATCCCTGTCTTCGTTCTTTGTGCCGCCTTGATCGTCCTGCCTGGCACTCAGAGAGACACATCTCTCGACCAGTCCTCGGCAAGTCTGCTTGCACAGTCTTCTTTGCACCACCTTGAGTCACTACAAGTTGTGGAGGGACAGGGACCACTGTCCAGGGAGTTGACATGCTCCAGCAGAAATGCGTGCTCAAGCTTCAGGAAAACTTCTATGGACGTGGACGTGCAGTTCTCATCTGGAACGTTCAGTTTCAGTATGGCTTCCAGCAGCATAGTGAAAATCTGTTGGCGCAATGCTTTGGATACACACCAGCCTTGATGCAAGTTGCCGATGCTTTAGATGGTTGCGAGCTGAGGCATGCTGTATGGTTTAGTAGCAACCTGGTGCGTGATCCGCCTGCGCAGTGCTCTCAACTCGGAGGACCTGACTCTCGCCTTTACATTTGAAGCTGAATTTCTCAGCTCAACATACACTGATGCAAAGGAAGCGGGCGAACCTGAATTGTAAGTGTCTGGCAGTGTCCCGACCTGCAGGTGCATAGCACATGATTGATGCCAGACCTGTCGAATTTTGAAGCCCGAGGAATCTTGCAGTTGATCGGCTTCATTTGTTTGTGGCCGACTTCAAACTGCACTGGAGCGAGGTGAGTGGCCAAGAATGGCGCCGGTGACTGCGCTGCAAGCAGACAAGTGGAGCTCGATGAATGGCAGTTCGTAATGGCGGGCACGGTGAAGCGACAGGCAAATCCAAGATCACTATAGTAGTTGGTAAGACTAGTTCGTAAAATGTCTTTGCAAGCTTCTGCGCAGCAGCGCAGAAAGGGAAGTCATTGCCATTCACCTTGGGAAGCGCAAAGCGAGATACTGGAATGTTGTTGAGGATGTTTCAGGACTCTGCAATTGGCATAAGCGGCCAGCTCTGCACCTGTCTAAAGCGGGTTTGTGGAGACACTCTCCCATTGAAATCCTACTTGTACTTACATGAGGTATGCTGTGGCGTGGCTTTGTTTGGTACTTTGCGGCCTGGGACAATACAGCTTGGAAGTTTGGACTTTGCAGAAGAGCACCACGCAGCAATCGGACATGGTCCCTGGCCTGCAAAAAGGGTGTATAAGGATGTTCAGCTAAGATTACGAGGTCTCGGAAGAGGCAAAAGTGGGGCTTGTTGCATTTGCGGAGCGCCTCCAGGTGACCTGAACATCAGATACCCCCAATGTCAGCACCAAGGACTGGCTTTGGCTGGTGCATACTTTGAAGCTGCTAGTTTTGATAGGCTTTGCTATGTCCAGTGCCATTCTGATGGTGATTACCTATGTGCAGTCTCACCTTCTGTTGGGGCTGGACAAAGTGCTGGACTGCTGGTGCGGACAGATCGTGAACTGTCCAGACTTCACTGAGGGCATCAGCAGCTGGAACGCGATGCAAGCACTACTCAAGTGTGTCGGACGCGAGCTTGCTGGCAGTTTTGTGGCCCTCCAAGCAGTGGGAGCGCTTGGCCTTGCGTTCTTCCTAGGAGGCGCGGTGAGCTTTGCATTTCGAACCGATTTTGAGGCAACAAGCCTACTTTCAGAAATCCTTGCAGCCGTGCCGTTGCCCTACCTTTTCGTCCTTAACATGCGTGTTTGTGCTCATGGAGCTGCTTTGACAGAGAAGCCTGGCCAGCATTCACAGTTGGAACAGCAGCGGGAGATGATCTTACTTTGCTGGACAAATAGATAAGGAAATGCCGAGCAATCCCAGCGTTCGTGAACCAGATCCCATCTGATGAGCCCAATGATTTGGACCGCCAGTACTTGGTGAGGTATATAACGGTTCCTTGCCTGCACTATGAAGGGTTGTCAACATGTTGCACCCGCCCTTGAAGCTTGGTCTAAGGACAGCTCTGCCGGGTTCTTCATCAACGATGTCAAGCTGACGCAGGAGATCTTCTTGAAACAGTTCATCGTGTGACCCAGCTTGGACAGGGGACGGAAGATGTTGTTTGGCCAAGTTTGCTTGCGCGCAGCAAAGGCTGGGCTCTCTGGTCTCTGGCCTCGTGAGCGTTCTATCACGCATCCTCATACTGTGAGATGGAACCAAAGAGATGGAGCAGGATTTTTGGCTCTTCTTGCCAGGTGTCTCGAGGCCTTGCATGCGCAAGAGCCGTGACGGACCAGTGGCTGCTGCGTGGATCATTCCTTCATGGGAGTCATCATAGAATTTATCCTGAGCACTACGGAAATTCATGATGGGCAGTCTAGGCAGAGAGGTGATGGAAGAAGTGCTCCTATGAAGCCATTCGACTATTTAACGCTTTTCTTTATTGCACATGGAGTGCCTTGTACGACGTCGTCAGAACTTGACACCTCCAGAAGTCTGCCGCTGAGCTGGTGCCAAAGGCAAGAGGCTCAAAGCATTTAAACAACATCATAATGAGCCTTTGAAAGCAAGAGCGCCCCCACAAGGAGGAGCTCTATTCCTCAGCAGGAATAAACATGCAGAAAAAAGTTCTTTTTCTTTTGCAATCAGAGTGGTGATGCACCCGTCAACTTGATATTCCATGTTGCGACAGTAAGACACGAAATACACCTACCTACTATGTTGTCGACAGACGAGAAGGTGCATCAACCAGCGTACTGGAAACGCGTAGTTTGCCCGCAACGGCCCATTCAAGAGTGAAGGATGACAGATGCTTGCTAGAGCTGAGTGGGAGCGCCAAGCCCCCTCGGGATGCCTTTTCATTGCCTTGGCACAGCAACAAGTGTTGCACGCTTGTTCAGGGTCATGCTACCTAAAGATGTGATGGCCCCGCATTGGTGCAAAGTCATTCAGATCTCAACTTCTTGCTTAGTTGCCATCATTCGAGAGGGAAAATCCTGCCGATCAGCAGTTGACAACAGTGGTCGAGGACATGGGCAACTACGGACTTCTAGCGAACATGGCAGATACATGCAGATAAAATGCTCCGCGAAAATCCTGAGATCAGAGCAGAGTCTCGCAAGTTTGGCAAGCCATAGCGAACCCAGGAAATGCGCGAGCCCGACCCGAAAGGTAGAAGTAGGGAATGCTATGCCTGCGTGCAGCTGCTAGCTTACATCGGACGAGTTATAAGGGCCTCTTCTGTAAAACTGACACAACACATGGCACAAGCTCACACCAGCCACTAGACGTGAAATGCTGTCTTACTATCAGGTCTTGCAGGAAGTTTCTGCCAGGGTCCTTGCAAGCAGCATCAACACATTCTTGCTGGTACGCTAGCCAACCGACTTGATAGTAGACCACATTTGTCATGACAAGTAGGATGGTCCAACTTGTATGCGACCGTCACGCGCGAAGAATCGTCACTGCCCTTGGATGCAAAGCCACAGCTAAACTCTGGAAGTCACACCAAGGGTGTGGTTGAATGACCGTGTGTAGATACCCTAAGCTCTTCAACGATCGCCCCTCGAATCAGCACAGAATCTTGCGCAAATCCCTTTGTCTTTATAATGTTCCATTCTAATGGTTTTCCGTCTTCGACCACAGTGGGCAACTCTTGCATGTGTCTTGTTTATCTCAGAGATGGGAATGGTTTTAAGGGTGGATTTGGCAGCAGACTCGCATTCAACAACGTTTTTCAGGCATGTCGTGTGTGGGAAGCAGTGGTACTGTTTGTAGGGAATCAGCTGCAGGGTAACAAAAAACAAGCTGCCATCTCCAAGGTCCTTTTTGTCTGGCAATGCTAGAAAGCTTTCAGCCACCCCTGCGTCAATTTCTCCGAGTTTCGGCGGTGTGCTGTTCCTTGGCAAGTTGCCTGACCTCACGTTCCAGAGAACGAGAGAGTGCTGCAAAACAGCTTCACGAAAGAGCGCTGGATTGTGGCCGGACTTCGCGGCCGCAGCCTCCGTATGCTCTATCTATTGTACAGGTCGCTGGGCAGCTTGTCATTATAGTCTTTTTAAAGCCACGTTCAGACCAGATTTGCCCAGCCGTAAATCGCGTAGACGCAAAGTTTTCGAGGAACAAAATTTCGAAACATCGGATTCTGCAGCCTTGGTACTTGCCCTTGTTCTTCACTGCAAAGACCTTTCCTGTTGTACCTACTCTGAGTGAGACAGCAGCTGCCATCACAGAAGGGATATGACAGGCAGTCACAACCGTGGACACCGATCCACGCTTTGAGATCGTGGGAGCCGCATGCCCAGGTTCTTTGTCGTTGAGTAGTCTGCTTCAGCTGCACATGCTGGTTGAGCACACACCTGCAACTGTTCAAAGCTTTTTCAGGGCGTGGCACCTAAAATTTGATGGTAGGTCGAAAGTTTCATCTAAATTGTTCATGTGATTTCGCCGCTGTGCAAGCCCAAATGATAACTTGCCAAGAGCCAGTGTTTGGCATGACAGCTTACAATTTCTGCGAGCTTGGATTGACACCAGCTTGGCCATGCAGAGAGCTTGCATGCAGAAGTAGATTCCGAAGATAGTCAGGCCAGCCGTTGCCAATTCAGCTTTGATTTGCAGAGCCATGGAAATCAAAGTGAAGCTTCCTGATGGTCCTGCCTGGCCTGAAGCGATCACGCAGCTGGACAGATGGATTCATACATAGAGTTCCATTCCAATCATGCTGGTCTTGCGTGCCGAGTGAGAGTTCGGTGCCTGCACCTCCAGCATGCCCCAATTGCTGAAGGAAGTAAGACAGACTTGCTGCTTAAACAGTATAGTTTCAGTCCATGAACACTTGCCTTCTCAAGATTGATGCGCGCATTCGCTGAGACTTTGTGCTTCTGAACCAGAGTCATTGAAGAGAGAGTTGAGCAAGCTCACTGGTGTGGCCGTGCCGCCTGTCCAGGATGGAGTTGTGGTTCCCAGAAACGAAGGATAAACCTTGAGGAGTCTTCAGAGAACGCACCTTAGTATTGGCAATCGTACATCAGGTGATGCTGTACAGCTCGCTGCAATTTCGTTTGTGTTCCTTTTTCTTGGGACGATGTTGAAGTGGGTGCGGGGCCGCATGCCTGCGGTACAGATCCCCTTTCTTGTCGTACAGCTTGGCTTACTTACCCAGGGCCTCAGAGTCTGGAAGTCTTTGTAAACCCTCGTAGGATTTTTAGCACAAGCCACGCCAGAAAGAAATACGAAGCTAGTATTCTGAAATAGAGACCTCTTCAGGATCTGCTTGGTTACCACATGTCGGTCTTGGAACTGCTTTGTTAAGACCTGTTGCTCCCAGTGTTATTCCTGATGCCATCGAGGCAATTTTTAGCTCATAGACCCTGCAGCCCTTGTGTTCTGTTAAGGGCAAAAAGTTTCAGACGCTCACTCAGCGAATTCGTCCTGCCACCAACAGTGCGCACTTACGAGTATCGGTCAAGTAAGGTGGCGCATTGACCTTTGGATGGAGACTGGTAGCCTCCTGACAGCTGGAGTTCTGGTAGTTCTTCAAGCTGCTGGATCCAGTAGAGCCCAGACCCGTGCATAAATTGGTGAAGCTTTATTTCAAGTGCTGTGAAACTTGTGCTAGGAAGCAGCGGTGAGAGGTGACTGAACGCGTTCCTGGGAATTGCAGGTTGAAAGCCACTTTTCGGAGGCGGCAAAGACGCACAGTTGCAGTGGACGCGAAGCTGCTGCACCAAATCTCAGACAAGGACCTCATGCAATCACACATAGAGCAGTTGGCCGAAGAGCTTGGTGTAGCTGGACGCCACAAGACTCAGTTAGAAGAAGTTGCTTTGGTCATCACGGACTGGAATGCCAGCATGCCAAAAGAGATTACGGACATCCTTGTTCGCTTCCTAGAGAGCAGATGCAACGACCCCAGCCAGATAGCGGTCGTGCATTTAGACCTACATGGAAAGCTGCCACAAATACTTGATGCCTTGCTGCGGAATCGTGAATTCTTTGAATCCGCCGCCAGTTCGGTGGAGACGCTCGAGATCAGCCTGGATGATGCGGATCCAACGAAAGACTTCCTGCCACTCTTCCCGAACCTTTGTGCTTTGCGGCTATATCGGCCAGAATTTCCAAGCAATGCGGGAGATCAAGAGCATTTGGGTTTGCAGCTGTTGCGACTGAATGCTGGGACGTTGCAAGATGTGGCAATTGTGGCGGTGAATTCTGACTGTGATGTTTTCAAAAACGTGATCACGCGCTTGCCAGGAGCCTAGGGTGCATGCAGGCATGATTGTCACGGCCTGTGTAGCGTGGCATGTCCCAGCCCCTCGCTGGAGTCTGGCGTTTGGTGCTGTGCAGTCTCAGGAGCCGCCTGCAAGAGCAACACGACGTTGTGGCTGGTTGGTCGCGAGGAATCATGGCTGCAACGGACCTAAGTATTGGAGCGTTTTGCCCTTGCAGGGTGATCTGCAAGGATGTCAGGAAAGTCCAAAGACTGCCAAAGCTAGACTGACAAGGGCGCTGGGAGCAAGAAAACAATGCCAATGGCATGTGCCTACCTGTCAGACTATCAGACTGCAACAACCATATCCTTTGTTGCCCACGGCAAGCTTCGACCTTGTAACGCTGAAGGATGGGATCCGATCGGCTTTGGGCACCTTGGGTGATCAACTAGAGGAGGCACGCCGCTTCAGAAGGAGACTCTGACGAATGGTCTTGCAGGCACAAGAAGCTGCAGGGCCTTAAGTTGATGTTGTACGTGCGGCCAGCATGATTAATCAGCTTTTCTTGGAGCCTTGTTCATGCCTTGATAGCTCCAGCTATTTCTATTGAGTTAGAGCCTCATTGCTTGTGTTGTTCTAGTCTGTCAGCCTTACTTCTTACCAGATGCACCCTCAGGGTGCCACGTGCTTGATCGAGCACTTTTTCCGGTCGCATTCGGCATGCGCATCCCGAGGACGGACACTTTCCTTTCCAATCTTGCAGAGCTGAATATTCACGTTGAGGCAAAGAGCAGCAGACGCGCGGCAGAGCGTGAGACATGTCGTACATGTGGCGGTTTCTGGCATGCGGGGTCTCTGTTTGGTCCATGCATCCAGTATATCACCGAGGTGTACATGTTTCAGTGCTCAAAATAGCAGAGCTCTGTCTTTGGGGCAATTGGCCAGTCGCACGCATGAGGTTTCGAAGGCATCCGATTTGCTACCAAATTTGCATTGAACCGCGGGCTCAACGAGGAAGAGCAAGCTACAAGGCAGCTAGGCCTGTTCAGCTTTTAGGGTGGAGTAGACGGAGAGGCATGAGCCGCATGTGAAACGATTCAGCAGAGTTCAGGCAGGGGATGATAAAGTATGTGCGGAAAAGTTGAAGACGTGTGCCCCGGGGCCTCCAGCAGGATCACGATAGTTCCTAGTTATGATATATCCTGCAGGTGCACACAGCCGCTACAGCTTCATATCACAAACTTCGCTCGTGTGCTGAGAACTGGTGCGCCTTCAACTGTTGGTTTGGTGAACTGAGGCGGAAGGTGCGCACGACTATCCGCTCGACACTGGTAGAAGCAGAACAACCAACCCTCATGTTCCTCGTCAGCAACAAACAATGTCAGGGCATTGGCTACCTTGCAGTATTGACCGCAAGGTATTGTACCTGCAAACACTCTGTAAGCTGCGGTAGCAACTTGATTCTTCAAGCTGTACCCGAGAGTACTGCAGTTTGGGGATGGATCATGAGACTTTTATGTATGTGCATCAGTGTGACAGCTCAACTTGGTTTTGCATAAGGTGCTTGTTCGATGTCACGCCTCTGTCGCTGGGCATCGCATTTCGACAAGCATTGGCTCAAAGAGAAAAACAAGATCCACCGTTGGCAAGGGAATGTCTTGAATGCTTGGCAAGGGGGCAACGACAAGAAGTCTGCATGCAGTACAGACAGCTTTCGCCAAAGGTTCTGCAAAGAACGCCAACGTTAGCTAGCATGGTTTGGTGGGTCCGCGTCCTCACAGGAACAGCAAACAAGACAGATATTTTGATTGGCCGAAGCTTAGCCGTCCAGGTACAATCATGAGCAGAGCTGTCTTGCACCCGTGCACTGCGAAATTGAGCCTGCCTCGGAGCTCTCCTTTTTTGTTTCCCCTCGGCCTACTCGTTCCGCCTTGAAGAATAGATGTAGTATGCATGCTCATAAATGCACACCTGAAGTTGCAAAACCAGTGCTTTCAGGCCTGCCCAGGAATAGGCATCACTGGGAGAAAAGGAGATTCAGACACCCACCACCAAATCCACCACCCAGCATGCACCCTAGAATTACCCGCTGAATTGATTTGAAATGTCGTCGTCTACAAAGAGATGCCCCCCCGACATCACCTTCTTGTGCCATAGCTGAGCATCTCACGCTTGAGTACACCTATGTCGCCGCCAGCACCCAAATTCTTACCGCCAGCTTTGTTGTCGCGAGAACATAGCTCGTCTACAAGGACACCGACGCTAACCTAACTTGCATAAATAGCGCAGGCAGGGGCCTGAGACAAGTCTTCATCACGTTCCACCTGCCTCGAACACACAGCGGCCGCTATTTCAAGGATTGTGATCGGGAACCTGCGGGCAGTAAAAAAGTGTTGAAGTTGTCTTGATTACACAGGACAGTTGGCAAGGGCAGCTCACCAGCGTGACATTTCCAAAGCCCAACCCGCACAAAGCGAGACCTTAAGAGGGCCAACACAAACCCAAACGGAGGGAGATGCTCAGAATCAGCCTTACTTTCTTCCACCGCGTCAGGAGAAACCTCAAACTTCTAAATTGAAGTCGCAGTAAGCTGAAGCATGAAGTTGAACTAGCAAAGCATTTTGCTCAAGTAGATGTTCGTGGTTCAGCTTTGCAAGTTACCCAGGAGGTTGGGCCATGCAGCCACCCTTTTAGGGGACTTGTTCATGCAGGTATCTAGGTGTTGTCTAGGTTTCCCGTGGGCGTGGTTCAGGCGACTTCCAATGCTGCTCAAGTCGTGAGAGTCATAATGCGTGGAAGTTGTTGAATCCCAGGCAACTGTTCACATGTCGAGTGGCTAATTTGTAGTGTCGAGTGGGCCTTGCAAATCTATCTCGGTTTTGCAGTGTGAAAGCTATGTGCCATGCGCAGGTGTCCAGGTGGGCCAAAAGGTAGCAGGCAAAATTCCTTTATGAGCCCAGAGCGTAAAAGATCTGCGGTCCTCAAGATCAGAAGCACAAGTTCTACGCACTGCTAAAATTTTCTAATCGCGCAAGGCCATACACCCTTGCAACCTTAACACCCCTGAAGCAAGGCAACCTCGGAGGGCTTTCGACTTCTTGAGCCAGGAGCTTCCCTTCCAGCGCAGGTGCTCCAGGCAAAGGAAGGGCAGCTAAATCCTTACACGTAAACCACTACGAAGGATAGGTTGCCAATTGCATGTTAACAAAGTTCATGTCGGGATCTAGCTGAGACAGTCAGCATCAAAATCTCCTTGTATCAGCGATGCGGTTCATTATGTTGATTGGCCGTCACTCATTCACAACCTTTGGGCTTTGCATGCGCTGCGCCGTAGAAGACCCATGTGAACAGCATCGTAGAAGACCCATGTGAACAGCATGGCCTGCCCCGAGGTGAGCATCTCCCCGCAGGAGTCAAATTCATTGGTTCAAGTTTGTTCTTCGTCCGCATATACTGTAAGGAATCACGATGCTTGCGCTATTGGCACTGCTATGGAACACTATTGCTAGCTGCTGCGAATGAAACTAGTACTTGTCACACGCTGCTGCTACTACAACTTGCTTTGTGCATGTTTTGAATTTATTCTTCAGTCAGAGCAGAGCACCGACTGACTCCTACAAGGCATGGCCTGTTAGAAACCTTCGCAGATTTTAGAGTTGTTCAGGAGCAGATTTGTGGATTCAATTGAATCATTTTTCACGACCGACACTCTTTTTTTGCAAGTGACATTTTCAAACCATGACATGACCAGAGCTGTTCTCTCAGAACCTCGAAAGTGAAACTGGGCAGTTGTGCTGCTCTCTTTGGTCCACAAAATCCTAGGCACATGATACTGGTACGGTGGTGTAGCTGCTGAAATTTGACTGACATGGCAAAATTGAGGTTGCACGTAGGATGGAGCACAGAATGAGGTTTGCATTCACAACCAGGAATTGTGGTGAATGGAGCTGTTGCACGTAGACATATGCTCACTCTCAGGTAGCTTGGATGGAAGGATGGTGCAGGAAGTCATGTTTGCTGGAGAGAGCACGGTGGGCTTACTCGCTGCAGCTGGCTGCAACCGCAACAATGTTTTTGTTTGAAATGGGTGTGCCTTTGACGAAATCGGCACATGCTAGCTGAAGCTGCGAGTAGAAAGCTGCCAGGACAACTTCAGCTCTCATCTGGGATGGAAGGCTGCCACCTTCTTCCTTGATGGCTCAGAGGTCCAGCCGCACATGGCATTGGCGAACTACTGCTCTCTGATCGTGAAGGAGCAGAGAGACCTTACAACGAGTCGTCTCCTTGAGAGGAGTTCGATAATTCCAACCAGGGTATCGCGGAGTTTCGCTGCAAGTTCAACTGCTGTCTCCATTCAACTGCTCGAAGGTGAGTCAGCCCTTGCAAAGGATAACCATCTCTTGGGTCAGTTACAGCTTGACGGCCTGTCTTCCGACGGTACTGTTGTGGAGGTCGTCCTGGATATTGATCCCAACGGTACTTTGCACTGTTCAGCCACTGCTGGCAACAAGTCTTGTGAAATGGTTCTTGGCCATGACGATCGACACCGCTGGAGCACTGCAGAGGTCGAACGCATGGTTGAGACAGGAGAACTGAGCTTCTAAAACATTGCAGATAACTTTTGGATTTGTGTCTTTCCGCTGCAAACTGCAAACCACTGTACGTTAATATAGCAGGAGTAGTCCTGATTGGGCACCTTAGGTTGGCAGCAGATTGCTTGCACGACAGCGAAGAGCAAATTGTTCCACCGATGCTGTCAGCTATTGCAAGGTCCCAAGAGCCAATCTGAGTGCAGGGAAGCTTGGCACTAACAGCGCTAGTTCTCCGCTAGCCTAGCAAGGACCACGACCCAATAGATCTTGGCTGCATTCACCATTTTAAGGAACTGGCGAGTCGCACTTTGCAATGGCTGGACTGACATGCCTGCAGATAAGGGCCAAGTGAATGCATGCGGAGGGGCGGCATGATTGACGCACTTGAGACACATAGCAGCATGGGTCAGGGTCTTGATTGGTCATGAGAAGATCTTAGGTACTTCTGTTTTGGTAAGGACATGAGTAACGTAACAATGAGACCGGTAACAAAGCAAACCACGGAACATCACCCTGCAGAACTTGCTGTCTGAGCTCAGAGCCCTTTGCCACAGGAGCAAAATGATGCATGCAAGTCCGCAAAGCTCGTGGAGAGCCACCTTGCAGCCTTGGAAGCAGCAGACAATGCTGCCTCAGACCTGGGGGCTTTGGCATAAAAAGCTTTGCATGCAGTGGTTCATCCCTGCCGCTTTTGATATTACGACCGGAGTCTGCTTCTACAACAAATCCACTTGTGAGTATTTGCTGCTGATCGAGGACACTTGGCTTTCAGTTGCATTGTGGCACAGGGTACAAATGGGCAGGGCATGGTTGCGGCAGGACTCTGCACAGCTTCTTAGTTTGATTCTACAGCACGTTAGGTCCTGACCCTGGAAGACATTGTGGAAGAGATCATTCAAGAGGAGATCGTGGATGAGACAGATGTGTATGCAGCAGAGCTCAGACTTTCTGCAAGTTTTGTCAGCCAGCACACAGGTTCTGCACCTTGAAACATGTACAATTTTGGAACTACTCTCAAGCCTGTCCTCAGACAGCCAACTTGTGATGTTGAGGTCGATGTTGACAGGCAGTTGAAGATCCGGGGTCGAGACGAGCGCAAGTTCGACCTAGGCTTGCTTTGTACTTGAAAGTCGATCAGTCCACTGGCAAGCGACGGCATTAGATCTTTTTCACAAACCCTAAGACACTCGGGAGATTGCCCTTGAGTCACCAATAGTCACCACAGAGTCCAGGATCAAGAAGAATCAGATGAGAGTTCATTTGGGCATGAGGGTCTTCGTTGCGCAGTGCTACGACGCTCTCATGGACTGGCTGCAGGCGTCTTCAATCCAATCTGGCGGTCCAAAGCAGACAAGCTGAGTTTGGAGGAGGCAACTTGGCAACCAGGGCAGAAGTGAGAAGAGATACACATTGATGAAATGATTGCTGCGCAGATTCGAGCACATGCAATTGTCTTGCTCACTCTCTGCGATTCCTGAGCAGCAACTGCGCAGGTTAGTGCCATCTCCGCACATCTGACGCGAACAGCCTTCGCAGAAGGCGAAACCGCTGTTCCATCACCAACTTCAGCAGCCTGCAAGGGTTGAGAACCTCAAAATCGGTGGGCCACAGCTAGGAAGATAGGACGTGTGTTTTGTTGAGCTTTGCGAAGGAAGCCCCTGCCCACTCCACTTCGAAACAGTCACGTGGCTGGTTGGAGAGGCGGAGGCACTTCCCACGGTCCAAGTTAGTCTAGTGAAAGTAACTGGCACTGACCCATGCCAGGTCATGAACTTGAAGCGCCACGCTGCTTCCGGGCAGGGTCCGACTGACGTCGACATGCCTGCACCCCGGTTATAGGAATGTGCACATCGGGCTGGCATGGGGTAGAAGGAGATAAGTTTGGCCTGAGCACTCAGGAACTTGCGTGCAAGTTTAAGTTCTCTTCCTGGCAACACCTACCGCAGGCTTTACAAATCCGGCCAGCAGACAGACCGGTGCACGCTGATATTGCAAGGAGACCGTCCGCGGGACTTGAATGACCCCAGCAGTTTTGACTGCCCACTTCTGTCGCCAGGACGGCTTGGAGCTTTCGTTGGCCATGAGTCCTTCAAGACAGAGAATGGAGCGTGCAAGAGCTCAGAGTGATACGGAGGCTCTCTTACAGCCAGCTGGGGCATCACAACTCACCTGCCATACCGCTAAGGTTTTCAGTGCTGGCAAGGCCCCCCTGCAATCAGCTAGCAACATGAGCAGGAGAATGCCAGAGTTACAGCAGGGCTTCAGCTGACCCAGTTTGCAATGCAGACCGTTCCTGTTCCTGCACTGGGCTGTCGATCCAACACCAACTTCCAGTTCGACACTGCAAAATTGACCCCGCAGGGATGCACTGACATCAGACTTCTTCACCCCAGACTTCGATGCCTTCCTCAGTACCAGCAAGGCGTGGTGTCATCAAATAGGCATCGGAGCAAGTATGTTCTGGCGTAGCTGCAGCTAGAATTACCCAAGCGACGAGCTGAGCAATTTCCTCTTTTCTGTGGTCGAGGTACGCATATTGTCCATCAAGCGGGAGCTCTACAATAGAGCGAAGGCAGCATGGTTGAGTCTTTTGTTACAGTTATGCCAAAGTGTCGACAGTTTGATGTTTACTCTAATCGAGGGGAATGTTTTAGGACACCTTTGGCAGTCAATGGCTCATCATAGTTTCAAATGAGATTACCTGCACCAACAGAAAACTGTTTCGTCGCAGCTTTGCTCCTCTTTGCGACTTTCAGTGAGAATGTCAAGCATTCGGAGCCAACCACAGGAGTTGGAGAAGGATCCCGCTCAGCTGGAGAGGGCAAAAAGAGCCCAGGTCACGATCTCAGATTGGCTGTGTCCTGAAGGAAGCTTGAACAGTTTGTTCCTGAGCTAGTGGGTCGGGGTTTTGAAGTGCCACGAAGGCACACATCATGCCGCGAATGCCGACTGCACGACGGCTCAGCGTCAGAAATCGTCCGCCTCTGAGACCTCAGATGAGCACCGATCATCTCCATGTGAAGGGTTGTCAATACAGTAACTTCCCGGGTCCTACTGTTGCAGATGACTCCGATTCCAGCCCCTCCGAAGAAAAAAAATCTGGCCTTATGTATTACCTGAGTTTAGTTGCGCACTTTGGCAGTACTTCCTGCATGCATGTTGCATTCAAGCTTCTTAAAGTGAGCGATGTAAACTAGAGCTTCACAGCAAGTGCAGTGGCTGCAATGTCCGCTTGACCTCATGCGTGACAGGTGCCAGCACAGATGAGGCCAGCAAGGGGTTTGGGGTTTTGCGATTTATGCACTGAACAAGCCCAAACGTTCATGAGAAAAGTTGGCGCAGGACGACGGATCACCACGCGTCTCCCACTGCAGCGCCGGAAGGCAATTTGGATACAGTTCCCGTTCACTCTGCCAGCCTATTTGTTAAGCTTGACATTTGGCCTCAGCATTTGAAAACGTCACCATGCAGTCTGGGTTGCACATCAGGCACCATGCTCTTTGGCGGATTGATACAACCCCCCGAGTGCAATCACATAGGCTGACCCAACAATGTCCATGCATTTGTGCCCAAGGCAATCGCCGGTGCAATCGCGAGCTCAGCTATGAGGGCCGCAGGGCCCATCGCCCAGCTGTTTGCACAGTCGAGCAAAGATTTGCTCGCGACATTCAAGATGGGTGAGTAAGATAGTTTGCTTCTAGCAAGAGCTTCCACGGACTTTGTTCTCAAAGGTGCACACTCTGACAAGTAAAATCTGTTGTCAAGAACTCAAAGGGCCTCCTGGAGTTGAGTGAAAGAACGGGAAGGGACAAAATAAGCTTATTCAGGCTGGATGCAGGGTGCAATTGTCAAAATCCAATATTTTCGTTCAGGAAGCTGGCGCAGTTGGACTCGTTTTTTTGTCCAACCAGTGGCCAGCAGGGTGATGAGATTTACGAACAATTCGACGCACGGCGAGACTGATGTTCCCTGCAACTGGAGCATTTCCTGCAGCGCAAGGGCAGCAGTATGCAGCAGTACTACTGGGCGCAGCCTGTGAGGGGCATGTGGCCAACATTGGACAACATGGGCCAGTGCGGAATTAGGAAGTTTAATGATTTGTGCTTAAAAGGGATGCAGACAGCCACAAAACTGGGCGTGCCTTTTGCTTCTGCAACACCACCACAGCCTGTTGTAAGCTTGTTTTCACACAATGGACGACCAGTAAAACATAGCTGGCCACCGTGCACCATTCAACAAGACATTTGTGACTGGTTCAGCAGCCACCAACTTTCATATCTGTAAGCATTATTAAGTTCGCGCTGCTGGCTCCGTTTGCTGAAGGCTGATGTGCAGAATATGCCATCAGCGATAATGCGGCAGCAACGGCTAAGCCGATCAAGCTGGAAAGCAGAAAGTTTTTGCAGAAAGTTCTCAGGCAGTCTTGTGCCACAGATCTCCACGAAGCCTTCTGCTGTACTGATCAGCATCACACTTACTAGCAGGTGGTGTCCTCAGCCGCCTCTCAGGCAGGCGTGCTGTTTTCGCTCTGCCTGTGCTTGCAGGGCCTGAGGACCTTTGCATGGACAAGACCGTTGAACAGCTTGTGTGCCCTTCGGAAACCTGGCCCCCAGTCTTGTTGCTTTGAACGGAAACCTAAAGTGCCGGGCAGTCCTCAACTTTGTACCCAAGCCAGCCTCCTGCAGAATACTGGGGATTCCTGGGTCGGATGGCATGCGGACATGCTTTGTTTTGAGAGGATCCGGCCTTGTTCGAAAGCAGATGCCGCGTCCATTTCTGGGCACGAGTTGTGTAAGCACAGAGTGAGGAGTTTGTGTAACACATTTGCATGGGCTTCCAACCAAAATCTTGTCTTTTTTGTGTATCCAATTCTGGCACAAGAGGTAGGGGTGAGTGCAGGAAGACCCAAAGCTACAGCAAGGCTTTGTGATAAGGAATCAGACAATGAGAACATGAAACAGTAAGCTTATCATACCAAATTTGCTTCTGGCCCCTGAGCTAAATGGCAGTTTTGGTTAAACATGCGGATACTGCAGTCACTCCATGATCTCCATGGCATCGGCGGCGAGTTCGGTTGCCACACCAGACAATGCCGACTCATGTGATAGTTGTGTCAATGAGGCGTCGCAGCAGGATGCAAGATATTTTGGTCATGTGAAAATGACGGCTCGAAGACCTTTTGGGCTGAGACAGCACAGAAGCTCCTTTCTTGACGAACGCTTCGTCCAACAGTTCTTGCAGCAAACAAGCGCAGCTTTGAAGCATCGCATGCGTGCCCTCTCTCCTGACCCACAAAATTTGCAATTTGCTCGGAAGCTGGTAACATGAGTTTTTGCCTTGGTTCTGCAGCCGTCTACACGGCGGGTGCTTGCCATGGGCAACGCTTGAGGCTCAGTCATCCAATTTAAGGGCATAAGAGGCGGTGCTCGTCACAAGTTTTAGGGTCCTTTGAGCCAATCATGATGAGCTTGGCAGTCGAGTGTGGATTTGTTTTGAATATGGGTGCCGAACCTGGGCTTGTTGAAAACAATTGTTGAAAACAAGAATTGAACATGTTTGAAGGTGTAGGGGACGGCCCCTCATTCTGAATCCGCGCGAATGCATCAAGGTTACCTCGGGATGTTGGCCGTCGCACACGTCTGACATACGGCCCGATGGCGATCCTTCTGAAGGACAGCTCACAGTCGTCTCATCATGAAAGCGGAGCACGGCTCTCATTTTTGCTGGTCGACCTTGGCTAGGAGATGTTTTTGTCAAAACCTCTTTTCTTGAACCGGACATGAGCTGTTCCAACATATTGTGAGATGGCTGAACGACAGGTGAAGCGACCAATCAAGTGGAGTTGGCTGCGTCAATGTGCCACGACTGATGATTCGGTCATGGTCGCCATGCCAGCAGCTGTTCCCACCCGTTTCTGGCAGAATACGAAGCCCTCAGCTGAAGCATAGCAGACCTTAGTGCTGGCTTGCTCCTTGCAAGGCTGCCTTGCTGAGACGATGACCCGCGTGGTTTTAGAGCCAAGGCTTTTCACCATTCCCGGGCTGGCCTCCGCGTACCACACTTCAGCGCCTCGTTCTCTTGTTAAGCAGCCGATCACATTGCACTGGACCAGGCGGGAGTTGAAGACATTGCAAGACCTTTTTTTACCAAGGTGGTGGTCAACGGCGAGGAGTTCTTCTTCTCAGACAGCAGCTTCGTCAGAACGATCAGAATCAAAGTTCCTGTTGAGGTTAAGCAATTCAGAACTCAATTCAGAACTGCTGAATGCAGAACTGATAGCGAACCTTTGGAAACCAGACCTCCCAGCTTTGCGCCTTGGCAGGCGGGATCTTCTCCAACATGACTTTGACAAGCTCCTTGAAAGCAATACAGATGTCATGCCGTTCACCAAAGATGTGTGGTGTTTATGAGCAGGCCATCAAGGCCAACCGTCCGAGAAGGCCTGACACGCTGCATGGTGTAACTCTCAGATTTGCTTGCAGACGAAAATCTGCGTCAGTTGACTATGGGCCTTTCGCACTGGACCGGCCAGCAGCTCCTCCGCGCTTTGCAAGAGCACTTCCGGTCACTTGGCGTGATGCGGAGCAGTAGCCATTTAAAAGCCGTGCGCTAAAGTTGGCTCGTGGTAAGCTTTCATCACTGATGGAGTTCGCGGTTGCAGCACAGACGTGTCGCCTTGTGGTCAGGGCAGGCACCTACGACCTCATACGGAAGAACTGCAACAGCTTCAGCGCGTTGAACTTAGAGCACGGAATGAGAGTGCTCACAAAAGCAAAGGAGGCAGTCAAACCTTTCCATGTAGGATATCGTTATTCGACAGATCATTGCCACAAAGGACTGCGCGCTGTACTTCTTGCTCAGAAAAAGCGTGGGCCCTATTACTACATTGGTCAGTGTCCGTCAGAACAAATCTACCACATAGATAAACATATGCCTGCAGCAAAGAGGCTGACAGCCACTCTCAGGACTGCCTTCCAAGTACTCCGCCATGGAGTCAATGGGGCAGCGAACAAGTTGCTCCCTCAGAGATTTCAGCAAATGTGTTACACGCTGTTTCCAGCAGCACAGAGCAGCATCCCCTACAAAATGCAAGTCTGCATTGCCACATCGCATATTGTGTCAAAACGTAAAGACGGCTCTGGTACAGCAGTAGGGGTGCTACAGTCACACAATCAAGGTCCCCTTCAAATCAAAGCCCAGACTTGCTGATCAGGTTTGGACTTGATTCATCATTTCACAAATGGCGCATACCAGCCGAATCAGGCATGATCGGCTTGCAGTTGCGCCACTCAAGCTTTGGTTTGACATACATGACAGCAGTTGCCCGCAGATTCTGAGTTGTGAGACCAGAACATGAACTCAACGTTGTTCAGGCTGCCGCCAATTTCAGTTCTGCTTCAGTTGTTCAGGCACTGGACAGGCCCGGTAGTCTTGGTCTAGATGCCAGCTAATGAAAGCTGGAGAAAAGATTGTCAGACTTGTCATCAACCTGCTTTGAAAGTCCAGACCATTTCTTTCATTGACAAGACGCCCGCGAATGGCTGCGCTGGCAGGCTTGACCCTCGAACTCTGTCAGCCAGTTCCACAACTGGTAGTGGAAAGCAGAGACCTTAGCCAACAAGCCTGGTGGCTTGGGATCCCATGGCTTCTGCGAATGCGAGAAATTCCGCTATCGGTGAGTTGCTTGTTGCAGTCCTGTCTACTGAGGTCTGGAGAATCCCTCCCAACAACAACTGGCCATATCAAGGTATGACTTTCTTCAATTAACAAAGCCCTATCATTCCTCAATCTCTGAGCCCCAAGGCACAAACCCAGACCTTTTTGACATATCCTTTCCAGGAACGCGCTGAGGATCGGCGCGCCTGTGGCGGCCCTTACCTCAGACCACAATCTAAGCGACAGAAAGAATTAGTACAGTAAATGAAGCATTTGAGCATCTCTGCTTGCTTTCACTGTCATCTTAAGATTTTCGCATGGGCGTGGAGTGGGCATTGTGCCTGTAAAGTGTGCAGAGGTTTTTGGACAATAGCTACGGCAAAAGATCAAGGGCACATTGAAGACAGCTGTTAAATTGGATCAAATCTGTAGCAGCTGAGGAGAGGCAGATAGAGGCAAGCCAAGAAAAAGCCTCTGTTTGGAGTTCGGTCCATCTCTTTCCCAGCGTCTCAGGCAACGAACATAATCTCAAGAACCGACGGTTCACTCAACGATTTACAAAGCCTTCGCTGGCCGGTTCGGGGATCGAGACCAATGACCCCGGGACTGAGCGAAGGAACGTTTCAGAATTTGCTAGGGTCAGGGCGTGAGCTTGCCGAGCTTAGACTGGACACAGCTGTGCTGAATGATGCTCGACATTCAGCTGAGGTCTGTGGCCTGAAGAACGCAGAGCACCTGAATGGCTTGCCTGGAAGGATCCGGTAAACTCTGCACCGCAGCACACACACACACACACACGCAGATCAGCAATGAGTGACAACAGCAAAAAGCTGGCTTCTGACTTTGACTTCGCAGCCATCTCCCTGTACGTCAGGAATTTACTAGTTTGTGTTTGCTTTTGCCAGGATTGTCGGCTACAATTCGGTCAATGGACGCTGGGAGGTGTCCGGCT